CAGCGAGGTCATATTTTGGATTTGACTCATCAGAATAATAACAGCCGTTGCTCTAAACGACACGATGGCCCATCATGACCGGGATCGTGAACGTGCTTATTGAGAGAGCGGTCACATCGTACTACTGTTCCACGAGACAACAGACTCGCACTCTGACTTGTGACTCACACTGCATATCATGCGAGGACGACGGGATGAATTAGCGGACCCGGTCCTGCATGTCTCACGGCTGCAACTGTATGCGGTCGCCACCGCATCGCATTGTGCAGAAATCCAACGCACGACTTGTGTAATTTATGATTCACGATTGATGTTCGTTGGCCATATACGCACGCCAATCACGAATGTTGCTGGGGATCGATCGTCGACACAACAGTCGCGTTTGACGTAGGTCGATGAGTGAGATCCACGATTCAGAATCAGGATTAGGGATAAGCCAAGCATTGCTTCTTGGCGGGGGCTCCTGGCTACTGCGGGTCGAGTCTCTTGCACTCACAGGATGCCGCTTGATTGATGACGTGAAGCGCTTGACATCAAAGCCTTGGAAAGACCGTGCATTTGCGCGTACGGAGCAACGTAACGAGCTACTTTTGTCGGACCATGTTGTTCGGAGATTTCATTGAGCCGGTCGATACTTTCAGACCTCGCTTTCGGCCCTACGACGTGGCACTGGCATCCGTGCCGTGAATGTCCTGCACATCCACTGCGTGACAGGGACAAATACCACGTCTTGGTCCCGTGATTTGAGTGGGGGGAGAGGGGGAGGTCACACCTCCACAAATATCCGAAGCAATTACAGTATAAGCCCTGCGCGGCGAAGTGAAGCCGGATCGTCCGGCTTAGACGAGGGCATGGCCGCTTGCAGTTGAGCGGCTTCTCTCGCTATGCAATTGGTGTCGGCCGTGCAAGGTTCTGCGGCCGTTCCCGAGCTTGCCGAACTGTCGCCGTGTTGACCAATCAGCGTGCGAATGCTAGTCACACGACCAGACGCTGCTGTACGTGCTGCAACTCCTTTGCCAGTGTAGTAGTGACTGTGACTGTCTCGTCCTGCACCTGCACCAAGACCACTCACTTACTGCTGTACGAGTAGCTCCGCAGGCCGCTTCTGAAGTTCTCGAATTAAACGAGGCATGATTTTTCAGTAATCTGCTCGCTGTAGCTGTGCCCTGCATGCAGCCTTGCGACCGAGCAAAGCTTTTTCAACTTGTGCCGTCGGTGTGGCCGACTTGGCTTTCAGCTGCCAATTGCTGCAAGAGAGCAGCCCATCAGAACGGTACGCCTGCGGTAGGTGCATGTTCATCCGCCACATGTCGGTAGGTACGCCCGTTGAAGTAGCGCCTCGGTGCATCAAGATCATTCACAGTGTGATTCCAAATCTCGCGACCCGCCCACATGCGTCGACTGGTCGCAAAGTCGGGAGCAGTCAAGAGAGATCCTGGAGAGATTGGCACGTCATTGAAGATGCGTCAGCGCACGCCAGTGCGCTACGAGATGTCCAACGGCAGACTGGCGAGCTTTGCAGACGGCATCTTTCATTGTTCACGTTCCCAAGACGTGCAGCAGAGGTCAGAGGCAACGACAGAACGGTTGGGGGGAGGGGAGAGCGAGACTGGCTCGAACAAGACAGATTGGGTTGGGCAAGGTTGAAGCGAGGTGCTCAGTAGGCAAAATGTGAGGGCCATGATGTGAATGTCATCAAGCGCGGATGGACAGGACTCTGCGCGATCCGTAAGGAATCGCACGCTTGCCGACCTTGTCTGCAGGTTTAGCAGTCTCCTTGGGCTCGTCCTCCTTCTTCTTGGGGTCGTCACAGTCAGTCTTGCCATCGGTGACGGTACCGGCTGCCTTGGCTTTGCTGCCTTGCTGCAACTTGGCATGAGTACCTTGAGCCTTAGCTTGCGTGTCGCTGAGGCACTTCCAGTAAGACTCTGGGAGGGGTTGCTCGCTTCGCTTGTTCTGCTTCTGTGGAGCGGTGCCGTTGTTGGTAGGAGGGTCGTAGTCGACTTGCAGCGACAGCTTCGAAGCGCACGCAAGGATCAAGTCGTCGGAGAAGCCCTTCAGGCGCGCCTCGGCCACGGCACCGTTCTTGCCGTCGACACTATCAAGAACAACAAGGTCAGCATGATGTGCTTTAAGACTGACCCTACAGCACTCACGTAGCGAGCTTGGTACCATCCGGCTGGACGTGCGCATCAGCGTGCATCTTGGAACCAGTCTTGGTCGTCGTCTTGATTGCTGGAGCGTTGGGGTCCACGGGCGTGTTGTTCTGGCCAGCTGGGGCAGCGCTGCCTTGGTCGGCGGGCTTAGCTCCCGGCGCCGCACCGTTGTCAGCGCTTGGCTTGTCGTTGGTGTTCGGAGCCTTGTCGCCGTAGCTAGCACCAGGGGTACTTTTGGTCTTTCCGTCGGTAGTTGTGGGCGTCGAAGGCTTGTCAGGCAGACCAACGCCTGGCTTGACAGCTACGTCCTCGGGTGCAACGGTGGCATAGGTGCTCAGGTTCGTCTTCAAGATTGCCTTCAGACCGACGTGGGGTGGCCTCTTAGCATTCGCGCGTCCAAGTTGATCCAAGTCCTGTCAGATAGGCAACAGCACGGTTAGTACTGCTTCGAACACCACCACTCGAGGAGAACTCACAGCCACGGCAGGAGCACCTGCTTGCACAACCTGTGTGCCGACCTCTCCCGTGACCCTGCGGACGAAGCTGCGCGTCAGCAATGAAGAGCAAAGCGTGGCGTGGCGAGTCGAGCCGAGGTCTCCCGCACTCACGAAATGCCATGCATGGACTTGAGCAGGACCTTGAGGTGCAAGTCGATCGTCATCATGTGGTCCACGACGAGCTCAACGTTGAGCACAGCCCCTGCTTGAGTGAAGTTGGAGATGGTGGACTTGACGTGCGCATGGATGCCTGCCAGGTGGCCAATGATGACCTCGACACTAGAGACCAGCGATTGGGTCACAGAGACATTCAGTATCAACAGAAGGTGGACTTCTCGTTCACGGACTCACTCTCCGTCCAAGATTGCACCTGTACACTTGCTGGTGGTGTCAGTGGCCTTTTGAATGGCTGCTTGAACCTCCAGAGCGGCTTTGATCGTGATGTTCTGACCGTCGCTACCAGGTGC